TCTATCTATCTATCTATCTATCTATCTATCTATCTATCTATCTATCTGATATCTGTCTGTCTGTCTATCATCTATCTTATCTGTCCTGTCCTGTCCGTCCTATCTATCTAATCTAATAGATGTATTCTACCTGCCTACCCATCTTCATCTATCTCTGTCTGTCCTATCTTATCTAAAAGATGTTCTACCTATCTATCTACCTGCATCTGTCTGTCTCTGTCTGTCTGTCCATCTGTCCTATCTAATAGATGTGTTCTACCTACTTATCCATCTTCATCTATCAGTATATGTCTTGTCTTTCTACCTACCTATCAATCATCTATTTTAGTGCATTGTGCAAATGGAATTGGGGAGTTATAAGTGGGTTGTGTGTATGTGTTTATTTATCAGCCTGGCGTTAGGGTTTGGGAGTGGGAGGGATTGGAAGTGATGGGGGCATCAGTTGGGTAAGAATCACTTCATTGTCTCAAAACAGATTGCATCCTGGTGAGACTTGAGCTGACTGTGTCTGTCTTCCTTGAAAGGGCGGGGACTGGTTAACCTGGTTGATCCTCAGAGCCTTGAGGATTGCTCAATCCTCGGGGGAACCCGATAGTCATCCTGACAACATCCTGGTCTCATTGTGGCACTTTTGAGCTGAGAAGAGTTGTTGAGGCTTTCACACTGGAGAGCTGTTTTGGGCAAGCCCAGATTGAAGGCAAATGAATTGACAGATGACTTAAGGCACAGAAGTATGAATTTTGCAACACATCTGACTGGGCACAGATCAAGGTCCACTTACGTGTAGCTCTGATGCCAGCAATGAGAATTTATTTCTGCATCATGGTGGTGTCTTAAGGGAACTGCCCAACAGAGCTTTCTCAACTACTGGAGACTCTACTTGGTGATAAATTTGAGGCAGAACTGACTAAATTATGGTAATAGGTTTGGGAAGACCTTTGCCTACAAAAATCCTTGTATGTGCTTCAAATTAGTGCATTTTTTGAAGGGCTTGTTGAATTATGGAGGTGCCACCTGGTCAGAGTTTATGAGATCCCTTTCAATTATATTATTACGGCCTCAGGAAGTAGACTTCTAGCTCTGTTGATGCTTTTTTAGACTTTTGTCCTTAGTTGCTCTAATTGGATAGATCCCAGGAAGGGCTGCACATCATCTTGGAACAGGTGGTAATGTAGAATTTTTTTTTGGAAGAGGGCTTCGGGTAAGCAAGTTTTGGTCATAGGTACTGGATAAGAGGGTGGCCTTTGAACTGCTGGAAATTTCTTAGAAAAAAATCGACTTGAAATAAATTAATTATCTGGATCTCCTGGCCTGGGTGTAACAGTATAAAAGCTCTAGTTATTCTGAGTGGTGGCTTCGCCAGGGGAAAAGTGGGGAGGATTCCTGGGTGATATTTACCACCATTGATCATGGGATATTGCTGGAGCAGTGGAGCTTAATGAGCTAATTATTTTTAAAGTTCTGTGTTACAGTAGCTTCAATTCATTAGGGAATTGTAGTGGAAAATTTCTGCTCGGCTTCATGATCGCCATGCATTGTTAAAAAAACAAAACCCAAACCACTAGTGTTTTTGTCTTATGCTTCTGTGTCTGTGCTGGAAACTGCATAACATCAGCTATTAAAGCAGTGGTCCCCAACCTTTTTGGTACCAGGGACTGGTTTCATGGAAGACAATTTTTCCACAGACTGCGATGGCGGGTGGGTGGGTGGGAGTGAAGAAGCTCACAACCTAGATCCATGCACACAGTTTCGCCTGGCTCACTACTCACCAGTTGTGCAGCCTGGACACAGACCGATCCACGGACCAGGGGTTGGTAACCCCTGCATTAAAGTACTAGACAGTCTTTCTGTATGTTACTGGTTAATCTGTAAAATCTTTCATGGCTTAATGTCTGTGAAGATTCTCAGTCATCCAGGCCATGACTGGCTTCAAGGAAAAACGAAGTCCAGTTGCCTTTTGAAAGGCTTAGCATCCAAACATCTAAAAGAGTGCCTTTCTCAGTGGCAGCTAACCTGGGCACCAAGATCAGTTGGGGAGGTGCCATGCTTATGGTCCCATTGATACATTCAGTCCACTGTGTGATGATGGCCAGAGTAGGTAGGGCCTGTGTAATTCTTTTGTAAAATGGGAGGGATGACTTCGAAGAAGAGTTAATCGTAACAGCTTTGAAGGGAGAAGAAAGGCAAATCCCATTTCTCCCTCCTTCCAGCCTCTGTATATGTTGAACTACAATGCCCATCATCCTTAGCCAGCATGGCTATGGTGGCTGGGATCTAACAAGGTCTGGACCAGATGTTGAAGCCTCAACATAGAATCCTACGGATACGTGTTGACTGGGAGAGAAAAAAAAACGTTAAAAATCCCAGCTCTTTCTCAATTCAGCTCTTCAGCTATCTTGTGATTTTTTTTTTAAAAAAAAGCTTTTCTTCCCCCACCCCCACTCCTTTAGAATAAATGTTAAAGATCCACTTTGGAGCCCAACCTTGTACATGTTTTATCAATAGGAAGGGCTGCTAAATTTGAAGGGGCTTATTGATGGGTAAATACGGTATGTTGTCTGGCGCTTTGAACTGTCCAAATAGAAGCTGTAGTATCAACTTCCTTATGGGTATATATAACTGTATTTCTCAAAGATTTTTGGAATACCATCGTTCTCAGCCTGTGGTCCATGGATCCCTGGGGAGTCCACAAATGCTTGAAGAAATATTATCATTTAAACCTTGAGTTTAGCCTTGGTAATCCATGGCCACAAAAGGTATTTAAAGGGAGTCCATGGTGAAGAAAACATTGGGAACCTTTGCTATTCGTAGGGAAATGGAAGGGACAGTGGGCTTCTTCCCATCTAAATGGCAGAGCTGCCATTTAATATGTGATGATGATGATGATAATCATGATATCTGTTCAGTTGCATACGATTCTTGGCGATTTTATGGGCCAGGTCTCTTCACAACTTCCTATCTTGCACTATTTCTTTGAGTTGTTCTCTGCTCTGGCTGGTGTCCTTTAAAAATGCGTGTGTGTATAGAGAGAGGGGGCTGGAGAGAGAGAGAGAGAGAGAGAGAGAGAATGAATCTGTCCTTCTCTTATTGAATGATGAGGTTGGCAAAGACCTTTTTCCTCTTCTCGTTCCCTACAGAAGCATTTGTGAATATTGCACTCTGAGTCAACAAACAGAAAACTAGGAAATCACAGTTTTTGTTCTGGAGAAGAAACCACAAAGATTCCTCCCCCAACCCGGTCTCCCCTCTCCCTCTGGGTTATGCCTTTCTCTTCCTACTGGTCAAACCCCAGTTTCCTTCCTCTGTTTTTCGAAAGCCAATTTAAGGGAAGCCAGAAGAGCTTCCATATCCAAAGGCAGCGTACCAGCATTGGCTATTTTTTTTTGCACCCTGCAGTTCATTACAAGGAGCAGATGTTGAGTGGGGACAACCTTTCCATTTGAAGAAGCAGGGCTGTTGCTCTTATGGCCTTGAGGATCGCTCCAGTCAGGGAAGAGAGCAGTGGCCTTCCAGATGTTGCAAGACCATCTGTTTTGCTGTGGACCGTTTTAAATGGGGCTTTGGGATGTCGGAGTTCAGCAGGATCTAGGAGCTTGGTTTCCCCACCCCTGGCAGCTGCTATGCTCATGTTTTTACTCTGTTGTGTTCATAGCACTGTTGTGGATACGACTGGGGGGGGGGAAGGGGGGAAATTCCCTCTCTGTGCACTTCTGGGTGAATAGCTCCATCATTACAGGTGGTCCTTGACTTACGGCCACAATTGCACCCAAATATTGTGTTGCTA